GGAAATAAGAGAAGTTTTCGAAATAAAAGCGTCTGAATAGGCTCCAAAAAGGAAAATAATAGATTTTCAGCGTTCCATTATATATTGCCTAACCTGCGAATTTTTACCATTTATATCTCATAAGATTGTCGATTGTTCGAACTATCCAATGACACTTTAGATGTTTTGACTCGATGAAATCTAGCGTAGTAATCACTTTTTTCGCAAGATCTCCATTTTTTAAATTTTTACGGGTTTTTTTCTCAAAATGTTCGAAATTTTTTCGACTAGTTCCTTTTTTTTTATCATTGTCGGGATAGCTTTAACAAGTTGTTTGCAGAGAGAGAGAGAGAGAGAGATGGGGTTTAACGTCCACTCGGCACAAACTAGGTCATTTCGGGACTAACATGGTTTATTTTTATTTACATAATTCGCTTGCGCGTAGGGGTCTTTAGCAGTGGGAGGAAACCGGAGGCCCCGGAGAAAACCCACGATGTTGGACAGGCGAACAAGTTGTTTGGTTACCTTACCTTCTGTACAAGAAGTTTCAGAATAATCCATTCAGCTATTTTCCGAAGAAAGAAAATTAGAAGATCATTTTCAGTAATCTAAGGATTTTTCAACTTTTTTCCAAGATTGAGGCTTTTTTTTGGACAACTTATGTTATTTCAATGCTTTTATTGTTGGACTCCCGCCATAGCCCACCCATAGGACTCTGCGTTAAAAAAGTTTCAGAAAAATCGGAGTTGTCGTTTTCGAGAAAAAGACGTCTAAAAAGGCCCCAAAAACGGAAAATACTAGATTTTCGGCGTACCACAATTTATTTTCTAACCATCGAAATCGTACCATTGAGATGCCATATAATAGTCCATTAATGGGGCTATCCAAAGACACTTTACTTCTTTTGGTCCGGTAATATCTGACCGAGAAATCCAGCTTTTCGCAAGAGCGACAATTTTTTAACCTTTTTTTTCATTTTTTGAATACTTTCGGTATGGAGATTATTGTCGGAATAGTTTTAATAACCAGTTTGAGCAATTAAATAGCGGCAGGGCTCTGTAATGATATATTACATTATCTGATCAGATAAAATGACCCTGAGAAATCCTATGTTCAAAGGTGCCAAAAATGCAAAAATGTCAAAATATCGAAAATTAAATTTCAATAACTCAATACATATTATACATCGTTAGAATCGTAATTAGGTCAGCTATCCGAATCTGTAATCTTTTTGTAAATGATAAAGTAATAGAGCATTTTGCAAAATTTCACGATTTTTCGACTTTTTTCGATTTTCAGTCCCTTTTTATCGTATTCCAGACATTTCAAAGTCTTATTGGATGGCATTATTCACAAGATTTTCGAATGGACTCGCGATAGAGAAAGTTAAAAAAAAAGTTGCGGTTAAGATTTGTGATACAGGCGTCCAAAAACGCTCCAAATCAGAAAATACTTGATTTTCAGCTTGTCATATTTTGCTGCTTGGTCATAGTTATCCGTATAAATTGGGCATCATACGACAGTCCATTCCTCGGGCCACTCAACGAAAGCTTAATTCGTTTAATCCATTGATACTGGACGGAGAAATCGAGTTTTTCCCCAAAACACCCATTTTTTACTTTTTTTTCGAAATATCTATCATTATTTCGACTACTTCCGTTTTCCGGATCGTTTTTGAAATTGCTTTATGCAGCGGTCTGACTATATAGCTTTATGTTCCAGGACTTTCAGAACTATCGATTTATCCTTTCCAAAAAATATAAGGGTTGGGAAATGGCCAGATTCACACCATAGACCACCGTTAGGACTCTAAGTAACATAAGTTTAAGAAAGGAAATAAATAAGAGAAGTTTTTGAAATAAAAGCGTCTGAATAGGCTCAAAAAAGGAAAAATAATAGATTTTCAGCGTTCCATTATTTATTGCCTATCTCGCGAATTTTTACCATTTAGATGTCATAAGATCGTCCATTGTTCGAACTATCCGATGACACTTTAGTTGTTTTGATTGGGTGAAATCTTACGTAGTAATAACTTTTTTCGCAAGATCACCATTATTTTCACTTTTTATGGGGTTTTTTTTCTCAAAATATCGGATATTTTTTCGACTACTTCCGGTTTTTGGATCATTGTCGGGATAGTTTTAACAAGTTGTTTGGTTACCTAACCTTCTGTACAAGAGGTTTCAGAAAAATCCAGTCAGTTGTTCTCCAAAGAAAGAAAAATAGAAGAGCATTTTCAGTAATTTAAGGATTTTTCAACTTTTTTCCAAGATTGAGGCTCTTTTTGGACCACTTATATTATTTCAATGCTATTATTTTTGGACTCTCGCCATAGTCCAGAAGTTTAAGAAAAATCATAGTTTTCGTTTTCGAGAAAATGGCGTCTCAAAATGCTCCAAAACGGAAAACACTAGATTTTTGGTGTACCATAATTTATTTTCTAGCCATCTAAATCGTATCATTCAGGTGTCATATGATAGTCCATTAATGGGGCTATCCAGCGATACTTTAGTTCTTTTGGTCTGCTAACATCTGATGGAGAAATCAAGTTTTTCGCAAGTGCGCTATTTTTTTAAACCTTTTTTCTTCATTTTTTGCATATGGAGATTATTGTCGGGATAGTTTTAATAACCGGATTGGCTTATCAAATAGCCACAGGGCTATGTAATGATATATTACATTGTCTGATCAGATAAAATGCCCCTGGGAAATCCTATGTTAAATAGTGCCAAAAATGCAAAAATGTCAATATATCGAAAATTAAATTTAAATATTTTTATACATATTATACATCGTTAGAATCGTAATTACGTCAGCTATCTGGATATGTAACTTTTTTGTAAAAATTTTTTTAAATAATAAAGTAATAGAGCTTTTTCCAAAATTTCACGATTTTTCAACTTTTTTCGATTTTCAGTACGTTATGTTACCTATTCCAGAAATTTTAATGTCTTATTGGAAGGATTCATGCACAAGACTACCAGAGGGACTCTCGATAGGGAAAGTTTAAAAAAAAATCCTTGGAGCAGTTTTCGAGATACAGGCGTCCAAAAACGCTCCAAATCAGAAAATACCTGATTTTCAGAATGTCATATTTTGCTGCCCTCTCATAGTATCCGCGTGAAATGGGTATCATATGACAGTCGAATCCCCGGGCCACCCAACGATACCTTAATTTCTTTAATCCGTTGATATCGGGTGAAGAAATCATGTTTTCCCAAAAGCACCCATTTTTTGCGTTTTCTTCAAAATATCGGACATTTTTTCGACCACTTCCGGTTTAAGGATTCTTGTCGAAATAGTTTTATCAGTTGGACTTGGACTATAACTTCATGTTCCATAAGTTTCAGAAACGTCAATTCGGCCGTAAAACGAAACTCGGGCACACAAAATGGGCAGAAAATTCGAAAAATAAAGGGTGATAACTCTGAATGAAAGTTATATTCCTGGAATCGGATTGCCTTCAGGTATCCAAAAATGTAGGTTAAATTTGAAAATTTTGAAAAATTACAAAATTTGTCTCCTAAACAAGGTATTTTCAAATTTCGAACGACAAAAGCCATAGATGAATGTTCGAAATTGAAAAATGCGAGATGGCCATTGTCTCGGAAAAGATTCAGGGTTTCCAAAAATGTGAATTGTTTTAAAATAGGTAAAGAATTGGCGAAACCACGGCCGATTTTTGATTTATTGCTACCGTTCAAAATTCGGCCACTTCCGTTCTGCGCAGAAGTTCCAAAAATACTTTTTCGAGTAACCACCACATGGTTTCCAGAGAGAAAATTTAACCCCAGATCGATATCTGTTTTCGATCATGGAGAAAAAGGCTCCCGCGGTAAATAACAATAATAATAACTAGATCTGCTAAGCAGATATTAAAGCTTTCATATTCACAGTCACTGTCACATGTCATAGAAATAATATGAACAGAAAAAAAAAATCATTATAATGAGTAAAAATTTGGTGAAGTTAATTCGATTTTTCACTGGTAAATAATTAAATAGACAAGTGGCATAACTTGACCCGCATCCCATCAGCTATCCTGAAAAATGCTGGAAAAATTAAACAAGTAAATTGTGTTTAGTACTGGGTTAATTAAGACAGGCATATGCCTTTGCTATACAGGATGACATGAGGGAAATTTAGCTTGGGAGGTGTAGGCCTGCAGCCAAAATTTCTAGCTAGCTTAGAAACACAACTCCGCTACACGGTCTTCCATAAAAGAAAAACTATACATTTTTGGAAAGCTTATGATGCCAGGAAGACAAAATCTGGGAGTTCCAAGCAAAATGTTTGCAATTTATTGATTTAGGGCCAGATGAAATTCGTCAAAATTGTCAAATAAATGCTATTTGTGTACTAACAATTCTGAAGTTGACATAAAATTAAATAGTTGGTAAAACACCTCATGCCTTCATCCTTGGCAATGAACAGTTTATTGGACAGATTTTGATGTAAATAAAAATGCTCAAAACACAAATGTCATGGGTGAATAAAGAATTGTGGAAATCCATTAACGGTAAAAAAGAATTATCTCCCTTTCTGTCAAATGCCTGTAATTGATAGACTATCAGGTCTTGTATGAATCATAAGACCAGGTGTGGGCAAACAAGCCCAATAATTATTTTGTTTGTTGGATCTCAAGGGCCTGTTAGGGTTGGTTGTTGGATGTTTGCTCAGAAATTATCGCTTGTATGGAACATGCTAGAGCCGATTTGTAGCATATTCTAGCCAGGGGATATGTTTGACAGTAGTTGAGTGATATGCTTTTGAAATAATGGAGATCAGTAGCACTTTATAAGCATTGAACCACATGATTTTTTTCCACTAAGATAAACATTCTAAACCCACATACATGTTCCCTTTCAATTAGCCACTACAGTATTTTTACAACTGTACATGTAGCTGTGAACTACTATTTCGGATATGATTAATGGTCAAATTACAAACATACATGTAGATATAAGTTAAAAAAATAATTGTGTTTCTGGGCTGGAATGAAGGGAAAGGTTAGAAAACAGGATGAACAGTTGTGAAATTATTTATTAAAGTGAAACAATCATTGAAAATCAAAATTAAACAGTTACTCTGCACATCAAATGTCATCAAAGTTAATCTTCATTATCATCATCACTGTCACTAAATGTATTAACATCAAATTCGGTCTCTTTAACAGTTTTTTTTTCATTTTCACATTGACTACACATGCACAGGTCTGTACAAGAAAGGGGGGTTGGGATGGCCTAGAGTGCCGCGCTTCGACCTCTAGCTGGTCGGTCACCTCTGGCTTGTGGCTGTGGCTTTGATCCCAGGTGTGAGCGTATGTGGCATGGAGATAGAGGCGTCTTCTCAACCTCGTGGGTTTCCTCCGGGCACTCCGGTTTCCTCTCACTGCTAAAGACCCATATGCGCAAGCGAATTATTGAAATAAAATTGAAACCGTATGTTAGTCCCAAAATGACCTAGTTTGTGTTGAGTGGACGTTAAACCCCATTTCTCTCTCTCTCTCTCTGTACAAGACAACTTTGCTGGCCATTTATGATTCTTTCTCTTATGACATCTTCACAGAATATATTGTATGTGGTTTAATATTCGACGGAGGGCTAGTCATCTTTGCTGAAAAATATAAATAAACATATACATGTACACAATTAAAACAAAATTCTGGAGCTTGGTTTACTCTCATTAATTTCGTACAACAGAGGAAAAAGACACTTACACAGGGGTTAACATCTTATTTTCATGCAGAAACCAGCTAATGAAGACAGGAAGGCATTAGCAGTACAAGGAGAGATAGAGAGGAGAATTGCGGTTTAACGTCCACTGGACAAAAACATAGTAATTTCAGGACTCACCCATGGTTCAGTTTTATTTGAATAATACCAGTGGCAAGAAGGCGGAGAATACAAATAAAAAAAACATCACAAATATTTACCTTTCTGATAACTGTCTAAGAAATTCAGTACATGTATATTGCCTATAACATTTTTGGTGATATCTGACCTCAATGGCCACACAATCTTGCCCTCTGATATGCCTTTCAATTCAGCAGCTTTCAACAGTTGGCCTACAAACAAATTTGCAAACAAAGTATACACCATATAGCGTTGAATGTTGTTTGTGCTCAAGGGTGGGGGAGGGAATGTCACTTTGAGGCCTACATGTACATGTACCTGGCTGGTCAACTCTGGCATGCGGTTTAGTTCAGATCCTTTGTGTGAGCGGAAATGGTCTAGAGACAGATCGTCTTAGCAAGGCACCTACAAGTGGGCCAAGAAAATAAAAAACAAGTTAACTTCTCTATGTTTCATCCCTTGTGCAAGCAAATGTGCAACACTTTAACCAATGACTGTGCCAAATCAACAAATGGGGTAAAGGGCTTTACTGGCTAGCTTCATAACAATTTTACAGTGATTGCAGTAGCACTTCTGATTCCATTTACAACAAAAACAACAACACAATAATTAAAAACTGTAGGATGAATATATTTAATATTTATTAGTAATAATTATAAATTTAGTAAGTAACATAATATTAACATTAGGCCTACCTGAGCCTGTTTGGGTCTGAGTCTGTGTTAATACATCCTTCTTCCTATTTTCTCCAACAGTGACAAATCTGTCACGTTTTTTACATATAATACACACAACAGGCAGCACCGATTTACTCTTTCTTTTTGCTTCAGGAGCGTAATTTGTTTGGAGAGCTAGGTCCCAGATCGTCTACACTCCCGCTATTCCCTGGTTGGATTGTAGCCGGGGATTTTAATTTTTCTTTATCTATACGATTACGGGCAGACCCAATTCGGAATTTGTCTGTAAAAGGCCTGTAGCATGTTGGGTGAAATCCAGTATCTTTTGGCGCGTCGATAAGTTCCTTGTTTGATTATATCACCCGATGTCGCCTGTTCAGCTATCCATTTCGCTCGCCCATCAAGTTTTAGCCATTCATGGGCACATTCACGGAATTTATCCCAGCGAGATTTTGTAAATAATTGTTCTCGTTCCTTTCTAAATCCTTGGTAATGAATAATACAGCGTAAATTTGATGAAATATCAGTCGATTCACGTTCTTTCATGGGCGCAGCCATTACACATGTGTGTTGTTGTTTACAACTTTCAAGGTCGGGTCAGCAGTTCACAATACGAGCTCCTGATTGGCCCATGGTGACCAATCACCAGTTATTTCCCTACGCTTTATAACAGCGCGAGTCAAATAAATCCCGGACGAATAAATTTATATCACCCTTAATGGATTTGAAATAAAGAATTATAAAATGTATTTATAAATATACTATGCTTTATTTGAACCTTATGCCTACTACTATTCTTACCTGACTCTATCCAATTTATTTTAATCATATCTTTCATTCTATTTAAGTTATTTTTTTTTTCCCACCATTCCCCCCCCCCTCCACTGTTCCTTATCTCAGACGAAATAATCCCAGATTAGCTGTAAGACCAGATACTCTTTTTTTCTTTCTTTCTTTTCAGGTCAATGACAGCTGATTCATTGTTTAGTTTTTTATATGATATATTTAATATCAATAATATATGTATATGCATGCTTTATTTTACTTTACACGACCTCTAAAAATGCCCCAAATCGTAAAAATACGACTTTTTGGATTTCGATCTCCTTTTTTCGGCTACCCCGGACATTTTCAAAAAATGATACAATGATTTCACACAACAGGCCAGCTATTAGCCTCTCGATTGACAAAAGTTTCATCGCCCTCCATTCATTATAACCAATGTCATCGTGCCCTAAAGAATCAACAAATCAGCTTGCTTATCTCTGCTTACCCTAGGCAAAAAATGCTCATCTTTGAACTCAATCATGACATTGACCTAGTGAACGCCTACACCAAGTTTGAACATTCTAGCTTAATTAGAAGGAGAGTTCTTGTGTTCCAAAGTCCCGGCCCTTCAAATTGCTTCTATTTTTCATTTTCAATTCAAAATGGTGACCATCACGTGACCGAAATCAAAATTCTGATCCGATAGATTTTTAGGCATTCCTTCCAGGATTCCGAAAATATGACGCCCGAGTCTGTAAGTAAAATAGCAAAAAAGCCTTTTTGATTTTTCACGTTTAAAGATGGTGGCACTTCCGGTTCGATCGACAAACTCCATATTTTGTGTACGAATCAGTAATTACTTGTCTAGTATCGAATTTTTTTTTTAGGTCATTCTGACCTATATTTCGACGATTTTTTTGAAAACTTTGATCCTTAATTTCACCAAGGGGAGATAATTTAGAAAATTTCCAAGGACATCATTGAAGTCGCATTGGCAAGATCTACTAACATTCTAAATTTCACGAACGTCGCACAACTATTAAAGAAGTTGTCAAATTGGTAATAACTTCCGGTTCGAAATGACAGCGACGAATTTTCGAAATGCCAAAATCCGAAATTGCAGATTTGAAGTAAATGTTTCAAGATACTCAAAGAAAAAAGAATTAGTAAAATAGGTCAAATAGTCACAAAGTTACAGCATTGTAGGTCAAATGCATTCCTTCGTAAAATTCGGTGATTTCGGATTCGTAAAACGTTTTGAAAATATATTTAATCAACAGCCACCACCCATTTTTGGGGGGATAGGTAAAAGTTTCAGAACGATCCTATGGTTAGATTCTGAGAAATCCGATTTGTGGACAAAACACAAAAAAAAAATAACAACTAGATCTGCATAGCAGATATCAAAGCTTTCATATAAACTTCAAAAGGGGTTATTAGAATCTATGAATCATCAACCACTCTGACGGATGTAGAAAGGAATATATTGTTACTAAATCTGTTGTACTGTTTCTTGTTATGGTAAAGAAAACATGAATACAACTATGAGATTTGTATAGAATTGGCATTAATCAATATATTTATTGTTTAATACTACATGTATATTATAGATACAAAGTGAATTAAATGAACCCAATTACATGTACTTTATATAAGCAATGTTTTTTTATTCATCGTTACTTTGAAATCACATTATTTTCATTGATGATAAAAAGGTTGTATTTGTACCGAATCCAAAAAGTATGTTGTATGACATTGCATTATCTGTACCAATTATTTATTTGCAAACCAATATACAATGTTTATTTCTACTCCAATATATTTGTTTCAACCCATGATAGTTTATTCACTCTTCTCACTTAAATACAAGAATAACACACGATTAAATTACTGAAACAAGTAATGCTGGTAGATTATAATTTGATATTGTATACCATTTACTCTCTGTTAGATAAGGCGACGTGGTAATCTGTTAGATAAACATACATGGAAGTATATGTTAGATAACTACAATTTATGATATATTTTAAACCAAGGAAGTGGCCTTTCTAAAAATAAAAAAAAATAAAGGAAAATATATTTCATACAATTGTTATACTGTTACTGTTATCGTGAAGAAACATGATTGTTTATTTAATGTTGTTTATGACAAACATGTAATCATGTACATTTTTTAAATAAGAACAATTATGCTACATGTATGAATAACTCTCAAAAATTATGTTTTCATCAATCCAAGTATTTTTTTATTTGTATTACTTGATTTATACTGAATAAAGATTACACAAACATACAAAATGGTGTTGGGTGTGTGACTGAATTCCTCGTTGAGAAGTGGTATCGGGTGTCCCATAGAGAAGAAGCAAACCCTCCTTGTGATACACTTGTGAACATTTTAAAAGACCCATTTCGCTGTGTTCCAGAAAAATCCCCATTATAGCTAGTGCATTACATGGTTGTTGTTGGGGGAAAGGTGGGTCTTTTCTATTGGCAATGATTTACTTTTTATAGGCCCACATTGAAATGTGGTCGTATATTGTCGTCGCCCCCCTTTTGCTGTTAATATCCGATTGACTTTAAATTTATACGCAGTGTTTAAGGTCATAAGACGAAGAAGCCTTTGATTTGCTCTGCCCAGGCAACGTTCCTGTGCTCCGATTGCCTTCAAATATGCACAGAATGTACCTTGGGATTCTAGCTATCACATATTAAAAATAGAAGAGTGTTGGATTCCGAGAACGTTCAAAATAAATTCAAAACCCGCCCCCAACAATCAAAGGTTTTTTGCTTAAAAAATTGCCGTATTTTATCGAATTTTTATTGTTCTTGATATCTGAGGATTTTTCTCAATTTAGTATGTGATAAATATCATCGCGGCGCAGCCAACCGCTAGAAATTCCAGAGATTTGGACCACCGGAATGATGCCTCAGCAGTCAAAAAAGGTCAAAATAGGCGATTTCGGTTTCTAGTGTCGATACATCGTTACGGTCATTTTAAAAAATTGTCTTTTAAGGATAATGTGTATAGTACCAGTACCTATCACATACGGAAGAGGCGATAAAATCTCTTTGCATTTGCAATTTCAAAATTAATTAAAACCAATATTAAATTCCTAAAATCGTTTTTTTGCTAAAACTTTTTTTTTTTTAATCGGATCAAAATGGGAGTAGGGCACAGAGTCCGGGGTGGTAATGGGCGTATTGTGTCCAAATTTCATGGTTTTCGGACAATCGGTGCCGGTGTCACGGCGAAATTCCACTTTTTTCCCCTCATGGAAGCCGTAAATTGACTTAGAAAAAAAACGACGAAAGGCAGGTGACAAGAACAAACGACTTGAACGAATGCAGGTATCACCTTGAAATTTTTAGGGTACCTAGGTACCAACGTGAAAAGTTGCTCGCCGGAATTTAGTACTCATGGTACCTTTGGTTCCAGCGTAGCGCATGCGCGAAGTCAAATCCAGCTAAACTCGAAAACAACCTTGTCGGCACCGAAAACATCAAAGGAGAAATTCGAATAAAAAATGATACAATGATTTCACACAACAGGCCAGCTATTAGCCTCTCGATTGACAAGAGTTTCATCGCCCTCCATTCATTATAACCAATGTCATCGTGCCCTAAAGAATCAACAAATCAGCTTGCTTATCTCTGCTTACCCTAGGCAAAAAATGCTCATCTTTGAACTCAATCATGACATTGACCTAGTGAACGCCTACACCAAGTTTGAACATTCTAGCTTAATTAGAAGGAGAGTTCTTGTGTTCCAAAGTCCCGGCCCTTCAAATTGCTTCTATTTTTCATTTTCAATTCAAAATGGTGACCATCACGTGACCGAAATCAAAATTCTGATCCGATAGATTTTTAGGTAGGGTCCTTGAAGTTGTACAGCTGCACCCGGTGACCGATATTTATTTAACGGGGAATAAGTGATAATTCATATTATAGCAGTAAATAATTAAAATATTTCATAGGGATTATAATAATATCTATATCTTGTCTGGGTACAGGGTTAAAACCAATATTAAATTCCGAAAATCGTTTTTTTGCTAAAACTCTTTTTTTTTAATGGGATCAAAATGGGGGTAAGGCACAGAGTCCGGGGTGGTAATGGGCGTATTGTGTCCAAATTTCATGGTTTTCGGACAATCGGTGCCGGTGTCACGGCGAAATTCCACTTTTTTCCCCTCATGGAAGCCGTAAATTGACTTGGAAAAAAAACGACGAAAGGCAGGTGACAAGAACAAACGACTTGAACTCGAAAACAACCTTGTCGGCACGGAAAACATCAAAGGAGAAATTCGAATAAAAAATGATACAATGATTTCACACAACAGGCCAGCTATTAGCCTCTCGATTGACAAGAGTTTCATCGCCCTCCATTCATTATAACCAATGTCATCGTGCCCTAAAGAATCAACAAATCAGCTTGCTTATCTCTGCTTACCCTAGGCAAAAAATGCTCATCTTTGAACTCAATCATGACATTGACCTAGTGAACGCCTACACCAAGTTTGAACATTCTAGCTTAATTAGAAAGAGAGTTCTTGTGTTCCAAAGTCCCGGCCCTTCAAATTGCTTCTATTTTTCATTTTCAATTCAAAATGGTGACCATCACGTGACCGAAATCAAAATTCTGATCCGATAGATTTTTAGGCATTCCTTCCAGGATTCCGAAAATATGACGCCCGAGTCTGTAAGTAAAATAGCAAAAAAGCCTTTTTGATTTTTCACGTTTAAAGATGGTGGCACTTCCGGTTCGATCGACAAACTCCATATTTTGTGTACGAATCAGTAATTACTTGTCTAGTATCGAATTTTTTTTTTTAGTTCATTCTGACCTATATTTCGACGATTTTTTTGAAAACTTTGATCCTTAATTTCACCAAGGGGAGATAATTTAGAAAATTTCCAAGGACATCATTGAAGTCGCATTGGCAAGATCTACTATCATTCTAAATTTCACGAAAATCCCACAACTATTAAAGAAGTTGTCAAATTGTTAATAACTTCCGGTTCGAAATGACAGCGACGAATTTTCGAAATGCCAAAATCCGAAATTGCAGATTTGAAGTAAATGT